AATCAAATGCCAGATAAGGAAATTGAATTAAAGCACTGAGAAGAAAAAATAAAATCAAACAACGAATTGGGGGGGTCTCCACTTACGGTGGGGAAGGTGTTGCTGGTGTAGGAGATAAGCAGACAAGTCTTGCCCACAGCCCCGTCCCCAACCGTGACGCACTTTATGAACCTGGACGCGCTCATTTTGCGATTTTCGCTCTCACTTTCTCAAACAGCAAAGAAAGAAAGAAAAACCCAAGCCCCAGATCTTCAACCTGAGGACCCGATCTTCTTCTTCTTCTCCTTCCTCCTCTTCAATCACACATCTGTAAGGATCGAAATCCGGACGAATCTCAACGAAACCCTAACCCTAATTGGACCAAATGGGGGACGAGGGAAAATTGAGAGAGAAAGAGAGAAAGAGAAAAAGATTGGGGGATTTCGAAAGAGGGGAAAATGAAAAGAGAAAAATGGGCGAGGTGTGGTTGGGGTTTGGAGTTGGAGATCAAAGAAAGAGAAAAGAGGAGGTGAGAGAACAAAAATGGCTCCTTTTTTTAGGCCGCGAATTTTTTTTCGCCGTTGAAGCGTTCGTTGAGCAACAAACCAACAATTTGTGTGAGCCTCCCTCTCTTACTCTCTGACTCTACTTTTCTGTTTTTTTCCTTTCAATTTTGAGTTTTTTTCTTTTTTAACGCGTTAATCGCGAGGAAGTTCGATCCGGTTTGTTTCTGGATATCGGATCTTGACTCTCTCGGGCCGGATTTTGGTCGTGTTGTTTCGGGGGTGGAGTGGAAGGGATAATATGCTATTTCAGTCTTGGTTGTGGTGTTTTCAGTGGATGACAAAATTGGATTTTATTTCAAAGTTAAATCTTCTCCGTGTGATTTAAATTTTTGTCCTTTTTAATTTGAAATCGTCTCCCGACTTAAGGTAATATTGGAATGGTTGATTCTGTCACGCCGTAATTATCGCGCAATTTCTATTTATGTTTAAAATGTTGAAGAGTCTGACGTGTTATGTTGCTTACGGTGTTTTAGTATGAATCATTGATTAATGATTCTTATTTTGGTGTGTATTCTAAATACATACAATATGACAATAATGTAACACGTTAGATATCTACTAAGAAAACATTACTTGTTTTATATTATTGATTAGCTTAGGAGGAACACTCGAGGTAGGTTATAATGTGTGTACTTTAAAACCTAATGCACTTAAAGTCTCATGATGTACTATAGTTTAGTATAAATCCTAAGGACATAAGAATACTTTCCCAAGTAGTCCTTTGTTGTTGACCCAAAAAAAAAAAGAGTAGTCCTTTGCTTGTGGAAAACACAACTCATTTTAGGGATGGAGTTGTGATATAATTTTGAATAGTTTTTCTTTTTAAGCAAATTCTTCATGTACAAAATTGTATTAGTTGATATCTTAAGTAGTAATCAATTGCCTAATTGATGATTAATTAGTTCTTTTTAAGATAGGACATGGGGTACAATTACAATTAACTCATATTTCTGACAAGATAATTGTTTTAAAAGTGGGGCAACTAGTCTTTCTACCGTACCAACAACCTTTGCTTGCCAATCAATGGTGACGGCAGAGGTGGTTGGAACTTGGAAGAGTATGTTTCACATGACAACAACAACGGCAGCAACAACAACCTCATCCAGTCCCAAATACAAGAGAATTCCATGACTATATATGATAATTTCTTCAAGTACAAGACAGGTAACCTAATATTATGGAGGGGAAGAAAAAACCCTTGTGCTTTTGGTAATTTTCTTTTTAATTTTTGTTAAAGCTATTTGACCCAAGTTTCATTTGCCAACTGATGTCTTCACAAGAGCAGAAACAGCAAGTATAAGGGCAGCTGAAGTTGACATCAAATCTAAGGACAGCTTGGCAGAAGATCTTTTTCCAAGCTGTGTCCTCCCCGTTATGGAACAGTTGCATTTTCCCCCCTTGAAAAGTATATTGCAGAACTTTTTTTTTATTTGTGGAATAAAATTGCTAGGCTGGAGAGGGGAAACAAAAACTAATCCTATATATGCTGGGAAGGAAGGAGGTATTAAAAAAATAGATTATTATAAATAAACTCAATTTTAGGCATGTATTTATAAAAAAACCCACACACTATTTAAACATAGAAACACACCCAAAATCAACCCCAAAATCAACAATTGTATATTTTTTGGGTGTGTTTATAAATGAGTTTTGAGTGTGTGTAATGATGGGTTTTGGGTGTGTTTATAAAGTGTTTTGGGTGTTGAGTTTTTTTATAATTTCAGCCCCCATTTTGGGTGTTTTAGTGAAACCCCCTTAAAAAAATGCAATGCCCATGGCTAAACCTACATTCACAATGAGCTGCTTTAAGCATCCAAATGACTTGAGCTCTTAGGTAGAAATTAACTGGGCAGCACACATGCACTGGGCTCTTGGATAAAAGTTGCACGGAGTCATCCACTGATCATGCCCACGCATGATTGTTCCTCCATCCGGGCAGCAAATGAGCTGGGCTCACAAAAAATATTGGCATGGGCTAAAAGTGGGCTACATTTGGTTTAGCAGAAGGGCTAATCAAAATTTGGCCCATGGCTAGAGTTGGTTTTTAACTTTTTACACATTTTGAGGGCTCTACATTTGGCTTATAGTCTATGGCTAGAGATGGCCTAAAGTGGGAAAAGATAAAGAAACCACAGAAAAAGAAAAATTACAGCTTTAAGTCGAACGAGAAACACCCGCCATTTTCGAATTTCAATTAGCAACCTGGTCAGCCGAAGCAAAATAGATCATGAACACGACGACACACAAATTATACAACCAAAGCTCCGAGATTTTTGACACCTAATTTGATACTTTCCTTCACATCATTTTGACTTATATTCAGCACATTAGTAGTACCAAGAAATACTCCGAAACATTTTCCAGTCGGGTTCCATCTTTCTCTAACCTTTGTCTTCAGGAACATTCATGAGGCAATGCATGACCAGGTGAATGCTGGAGAGAAGAGGAAGAATGCTTTATTTGCTTCTCAAGGTAGTTTCCCACAGGTTTGATGTGTTAGACAATAAGTTTAATAAAATTGGTAATATATTTAGGTGTTATTTTTGGGTGTTCAATTCTTTCATAACAAGTTCAGAGTATATACGTCAGCTGGTACTACTCCCATTCAAAGTTTGCCACGTGTCATTTTTTAGAAAAAAAGTTATAGCTTATTTACGAGAGATTATAGAATAGTACTGTACCACCACGTCAGCTGGTACTACTCCCATTCAAAGTTTGCCACGTGTCATTTGTTAGAAAAAAGTTATAGCTTATTTACAGTTGAATTTGAAGTTACTCTTTTAGCCTTCAAAACACTTAAAATTCGGCAAAATCCATCGACCGCCGTTTTGCCTCTCATCCCACCAACCCCTCCCTCTCTCTCTCTTCCTCTTTGTTTCTCTTCTTCCCTCCATCTCTCTCTCTAGAAAGCAAGGAATATAAGTTGATACCCGTAAGGGGTTCAATTGGACATGCATCCATTAATGTAATTGAAGACAAGAGAGGAGAGAGTAACTGAGAGGAAGGAAGGCAAATAGAGGGATGGGGCGGCGACCAGTGGAGGTAATGCTGGGTTCGGGGTGGGTTGTGGTTGGTTGCTGGACAATCATCTATTTCTTCGATTTTTTTATTTCTTTTTTAGGGAAATGAGATATGAGGAAATTGAACAATTGAGATTATGATTACGATGCTGCTGTTAAGGAAGAAAAATGAAAAGAATTGAATGTGAAAACAAACACCAGATGTAAAATAAGATTGTCGTTTGTACATGAGAGAGATGGACAGAGGAGGTGGCGGCGGCGGCTAAGGGTAATTGCATCTGAGTTGGGGTGGGAGAGTTCATTCTTTTTTTCGTTTTTTAAATTATATCGTATTGGGAAGCTGAGAAGATAGAAACAAAACATCTCCAATTCTTTCCTCCCTCATTATATCAAACCAGCAAGCAGACATATCTATTTTCTTCAACTAAAAGGCTCCACTGGTATCCCATCTTGTCTCCACTTCCTCCAGGTTAGTAAAAAATCTTGAATTTTTTTCTTCTCTTCTCATCCACACGTTACTTTCCCTCTGTTGATGAATATTTCTTCTATTCTTTTCCTCATATTTGCATCATAAAGCTTATCAATATGTTTGCATATGAATATTTTATTATATTGATTTTCTCATATGCTATGTTTGCTTGCCCCTAAACCTATTAATTTATTATTTAGGTACTGTTTCTTTACCCATAATTCGTTAGGTGGATAATTTTTTCATATAATATTCTCAATTTGATCACGTATTGGGCTAAGAGAATTGCTGGAATATAGACTCTTGTAATCTAACCAGTTTTGTTGATTTGTGAGTGTTTATGAAATATTATTGATGATTGAGTACTATTTATTTCTTTTGATAAGAATATGTTACTTATCTATGTGATCAGATTTGATAAATAAAAATTTAAAGGTGCGTTGGATACATTTTACCAATATGCTATTATGAAAATATACACAATTAATAAGGATTTGTACGTGTGATATAGTAATTATCAATGGAAGAATCACAACAGGGAAATGACAAAGTTAATGGGGGTTATAAATTGTGGACGTTGGAAGAGAGCAATGAGTTGCTACAACTCATGGTTGACGCCGCCAATCGTGGATGGCGTGATAGTAATAGAATGCTAAGCAAGCAAACAGTTGAGAAAAAGATTCTTCCATGTAATGGTATCCATTTTTTTTTTTCTAGTTTTTTGTTCCATGCATGCTGACTAGTTAATTCAACATATTAAAAGATAAATTCTATTCGTAAAATAAATATAAAAACAAGTATTTAAAAGTCTATAAAACTCTATGACAAAAGTATACGAAAGTTTGTCACTTTAACTCTATAAAGTATGTAAAAGTCATTAAGAATCTGTTAACTATAGGAAAGTCACTCACTTAAAAAAAGTCTTTAAAAGTTAGAATTGGATACACCCCCTAAATAACAATCCCTCAAAGTTGTGTGAAACAAGTGTTACATGCATGCATAAAGCAGACTAGATTTTATTTTCAATATTTTCTGCTAAGCAGATTAGATTTAGAGGTATTCCATCTAAAAATATTGTTCCAATATTTGTACTTTTATTGACATATTTGGTTGTAACAATATCCATTCCTCTTCTATTAAAAACAGATTAACTGATAGGAGTTAAGAGTTCAAGATGGCCGACAACAATGTCAGTGACCACTCCGTGATGCAAATTAAGGATGAGGACAAAGATGATGTGATTGCAGAAAATGATGGGAATAAGGCAACCTTGATTGAAGATAGAAATGATGTGGAATTAATAGTATCCTCGATTCGAAGAAAGCTTCACCAGAATCCTCCATCAACAGCTAGAAGTAGCATATTTAGAATCCCTAACGTGTTGCGCAGGCATAACGAAAAAGCTTTTGTTCCAAATTTGGTTTCAATAGGGCCATTTCAACACGGAAAAAAGAACCTGAAAGTGATGCAAGAGTTTAAGCTGTGGTATTTGCATTGCCTCCTTGATCGAAAGCCAACTTCAGAGACCAGTTTGGAGTACTTGGTAGAAGCCATTAAAAGTATGGAGCAAGGCTGTCGTGATTGTTATGGTGAAAAAATTCATATGAGTAGTGAAAATTTTGTGGAAATGATGGTGGTTGATGGTTACTTTATCGTGGAGCTCTTCCGCAAGGCTGCAAATGAGGTGCCCATAGACGCTAATGATCCTGTGTTTAATACGGCATGGATGCAGTCGGCACTTAACAAAGACTTGTTTCTACTTGAAAACCAGCTTCCTTGGAAAGTCGTTGATTGTTTATTCCACTGCACAAAGGAAAAAGATTAACCAAAATCCAACCCTCTACTCCTACTTGCTCTGAAATTCTTTGAGATGTCAGCATTCAACCAGGATCCACACGCCAACAGACTATTGGAAACTAAGCATTTACTTGATGGCATAAGAAACTCTTTACTTGCCTCGTACCCGGAAGCAAAAACTGATAGGTATTCGGAACCAAATCTCCAAACCGCCGTACCAAACTCCTATCTTAGGTAATACACCCTATTTGGAACCACTTTTGTTCTTGGACTATGGCCAAAAAGTGACAGGAAGTGACTGATAACGGCGACGCAAAACCGGCAGAAACTCAACTCGAAAATTAACCCTTCAAACCTCAAAATCACTCCAATCCTACCCAACCATCAGCTAGAACTTGAAAATCAGTCGAATTTCCATACCTAACTCGTCCGATTTGGTGGCCGGAGGAGAGAGAACGAGCGGGGAGAAGTTTGAGCGAAAATCGACTCGTTTTCTGCAGTTTTCCGGTGAACCTCGAGGCGGCTGAAGGCGGGAATGGCTGGGCTGCGACGGCGGGAACTGGCCGGTCCAATCTTGGCCGGTCCGGTGCAGTGTGGTGGCGGCTGGAGGTGGCTGGGTGATCGGCTGGAGCAAGAAGAAAGCAGGGGTGGGGGTTTGGTGTCGCGCGAGGAAGAAGAGAGTGAGGAGAGAGAAGGGAGAATCAGTTTTAAAAATCTGATTTCTCAAATTTACCATTTTGCCCTTCTCAGTATTTTGATCGTAATTCCTTCGTTACAAGTCTGATTCGAGTCCACTACGTGTCCACGGACTCGTTTTGTCGCGCTCTACGCAACAGTACAAGTGGATTTCCCAAATTCCTTCCTGATCAAAGAGTCAACTTTAAACCTAATAAAATATTCTAAGGGTATACTTGCCTTTTCCTCTAATAAATTATTAATTAAATATTAATTAAGGTTTGGGTTGTTACACTAAATATGCTACTTCTAACTGTTGATGGAGGATTCTGGTGAAGCTTTCTTCGAATTGAGGATACTATTAATTCCACATCATTTCTATCTTCAGTCAAGGTTGCCTTATTCCCATCATTTTCTGCAATCACATCATCTTTGTCCTCATCCTTAATTTGCATCACGGAGTGGTCACTGACATTGTTGTCTGCCATCTTGAACTCTTAACTCCTATCTTGAACTCTTAACTCCTATCAGTTAATCTGAAAACATCATCATTGACAGTGGAATAGGCAATGTCAGAAATGCTGAAAACATAATGTATCACACAATGTATATAAATATAAAATTGATAACAATACCATTTCTTACACCAAAAAAACTAGCACACCCAAACACCAAACAATTACTCTACACACTCATAACAACTTGCCAGCACATGCACATTGCTAATGATCACACCGTTCATTCCATCATATACAAACCTAGCACCTTTTTTTTGTTGTAATTTTACTAGAATTCTAAAATAATATCTAATAAGTGTATATATACTTACTACGTAAAAAACAGTAATTCAATGAGAAAGCTGGGGCGTGAAGGGCACCATCCTGGGCCAATCAATTATAATTCATATACACAACTAAAATGGCATCTTTGACATATTTCCTCTCAGTGCTATCAAGGAGAAAAAAATGAGAAAGCATGAATCTATTAAGGCCCTATCCTGATGCCCTTAGGCAAATTTTAGAAAGAGACAGGAGCATCAGGCAAACAACAATGCCACCAGGTTTTCAGCTAAAGAGAAGCTATCACTCTAATACATTCATAAACGAACTCAACACAACAAAGTAGCCACAGTTCAGATCTCAAAACAACACCACTGAAATTGAACAAAAAAATATCAAGAAAAGTCCATTTCTAAGTAATTCAATTGCATAACATCTATGTTGCACCGATACGCCACTTTTTGGGGGTATGCGAGTATCCGATACGGCGCCGATACGATACGGCTCCGATACGGCACCGATACGTATCCGATACGCCACGTGGCGTATCGTAGACTTTTCTTAAAAGTTGACTTTCCGATACGTCCTCGATACGTCCTCGATACGGTCACGATACGGTCATGATACGGCACCGATACGTCTGGGGGTAAAAACGAAAGTATTTGGAAACTTTGGGGTTGATTTTGAAAGTTATTTAGTATTTGGGGTTAAAATGTAAAAATAAAACATAGAATTTCAGATTGCTTATGTCAAGAGATAGGCTAGGTCTTGGACTTTCATTCAGACAGACGCCAAGCCAACCAAACAGAAGGAGGAAGGAGGAAGGAGGAAGGAGGAAGAAGGAAAAAGGAAGGGAAGAAGTTCTCACCTCGTCGCACCCACCCAGCCTTCGCACCTAGCTGTAGCAACCAGCGCCGTTGCAGCAGCTTTATCGTTCGCTACTCAGATTCATACGCAGCTCAAGGTTTCTTCTTCTTTCTTTGAATAATCTGCTGTTGTTCTTATATGGGTTTGGAACTTGGGTATATAATTTAATAAGTTGTGTGGTTGGAATTGTTGTTGACTTTATTTGGTTCTCCCAAAATAAAATTTATAACTCATATGCTAATGCTCACAGAGAGACTCATTGGCTACTGATGAGAGGCTTAATGCTCTAGAAGAAGAGGTTCACATCTTTTTCAATTTATTTTTTGCAATTTTCAATTCAATGAAAAGTAGCGGGAAGGGTTTGTTGGATTTGAGAAATGGGCTTTGCAATGCTTTTTAGGTACGGCTTCTGTGGGCTGCATAAAAAAAGTACAACTTCGATCTTCATGTTTTCGAGTCTAAAGCACAAGATGCCGAGGATAGACTCGACACGGTTGCCTATCAGGCTCAAAAGGTCATACGCTGATGTACTCAATCCATCTTTGGTTTGTGGCTATGAGCGTGTGATGTTGTTAGTGTGGTGTTCATTTTGCCATTGGCTTCTTTCTCTTTGCTTTCAGATGGCTGACATTGTTACAGAACAATGGATTCAAATTCAGCGGCTTGAGCAGGCTCTTCATATTACACAAGTAAGTTTTTTCTCCTTGAAACTGGCTTCAGGTTCTTTATTTGCTAAATTCATAAGTTTTGCTGATTCACTAATATTTGCTAGTTTCGTTTTGAAAATAAATAAATAAATAAATGAGGACTATGAGGGTTCAAAGACAATTAACAAGATGCACATTCTTGAAGGTAATACTGGATATCCCACACTCGTTGTAGTAGTTCAGAATTTCAGATAGGTTGATATATAGTCAATATAATATTCTGACCATCGGTGAACTGTCGCTGGAATTTAAGTCCCGTCAGCACTGACAGCATCAAGACTTTTTGACAATTGACCTATTTTGCTTTTTACAAAATATAATCTCACATTAACTCAACAAATCTGATGTTTTGCAGTTCATAAACAACCTTTCTGATGACCCTCTGCTGAAGATGCTTGGGCCTAACTTCAGATCCTATTTCTCTCGAGATTTTCATAAGTTCAAGAGAGTCTTTGCAGAATTTAAAAGGTCTCACCATGAGGTATGTATCAAAAGTCCTTTCTTAATTGGTCTGTAACAGCTGTTGGAAAAGGAAAATATTTCTTCAATGTTCTTAGGAGGAGGACACTGAGGCCGCTCCTGTGATACATCTTTATAGTTTTCTGCCATTAAGTCTGCTGTTGTTTACATTTGCGTATCTCTTTAATTTTATAGAATAGTTTACAAATTTTGGTGGCTGGTTTTCTAATTTTCAAGAACTCTGAAGGCACATGTAACTATATCACTTCAATCTTGAAGATGTTGAGCCACAAATCTTCACAAAACTTATACATGTAATGGATTGTCTCTTCCTACCTCCAAAATTATTAGTTGTAACTTGTAAAACACTGAGAATTACATGACAGATGCTTGTATTACCCTAAATAATCTCGTTTAGCAGGTTTTCTTACCATGAATGCATATGTTATATTGTTGAGGACTGCACCATTATGTACAATCAGGACCGCCTAGGCCAATTTTCTTTATGCAGTTACAAGCAAATGCTTGTATTACCCCAAATAATCTCATTTAGCAGGTTTTCTTACCATGAATGCATATGTTATATTGTTGAGGACTGCACCATTATGTACAATCACGACCGCCTGGGCCAATTTTCCTTATGCAGTTACAACATTTCATCAAAGAGAAACTGGAAAAGAATGAATTCACAGCAGCTCTTGCAAATGAGGAATTAGTTTTCTTTATGGTGTGTAGTCAATTTTCTTTCTTTTTAATTATTTCTGTACTCTTTTCTGCCGCAACTTTTTCTAAAGAAATACGTCCCATCTAAGCATTTTCTTGTGGTATTGTCCTTAATCGGAGTTGCTCTCATCAAAACTAACTAGCTGAAAGCATCACAAGTTCTGAATGAAAGAAATTTTCGAGAATTTGATATTGTTAACAGGTATATTTGATAGCAACTGTTACCATGTTGGCCTATGTTAGGAGATTTGATGCATAGATCAATGCATACAACAACAACTGTGACCATTACAAACATGAACGTATAATAGTTTGAAAGATATCTTGTGCTCCAAATGGCCCTAAATCTGTCGTCGTATTTCCTTCAATCAAAGACCCTAATTACGAAATGAACTATCCCAATGGGCTAAGGTGGTAGTTTAGCCCTAAATCCTAAAATTATAGGTTTTTTTTTAATCGCAAATGGTCCCTGAGGTTAACGAAACTATCACCTTACATCCTTAATGTTTTTTTTGTGACATTAATGATCCTCAAGGTTACTCTCTATACATCAAATTGGTCTCTACAGTTAGCTTCCGTCAAATGTTCTGTTAGAGTGCTGACTTGACACATCTGTAGAGCTCACATATCCAATTATATAAAACCAAGTGGATTTTAATAAAAGATATCATAAAAATTAAAATCCATAAAAAATTTGGCTAAAACATTTAAGAAAAAGGAGATTAAAACTTCAATAAATAAAAAAAATTGAACCCATCCAAAGTACATTCAGAATTGCTAAAAGCAAAATTATTCAATATTTTAAAAGTATAGCCGCACGGCTATACGCTTTAAATACATTCGAATATTTTAAAAGTATAGCCGGGCGGAGAAGAGTAAGGTTATCAATTGCAATTAGAAAATGGCAGTAATTGGGTTTAGTTCATAATTACGATGGACATTTTAGAAAGTAAATTCCTATACAAGCAATTTTATACTATGAAATTCAACAGTCTTTGATTCACAAAATGTTGGCGGATCCCTATTTTTTGTTGTTGCATTTACGGGTTTAACCCGTGTTATTTGTTATAAATAAAATTCATTTTTTTATTCTTGCCCAATGGGCTAATAGCTGGAAATCATTAGAATGGGAGGTGTCGGAAAGAATTTAAATTCTCATTCCCCAATATCGCTTATACAAATAAAATAACTGAAGAAATAACTCTAGCCCAATGGACTAAAGTGGTATTTTAGCCCCAAACCTTAAAATGATGTGACAAAATTGTATATTTAAAGAGTATAGCCGGACGGCTATACTCGCCAAATATATTAGAATATTTTAAAAGTATAGCCGTTCGGCTATACGCGGTCGGCTATACTTTCTAAATACATTCGAATATTTTAAGAGTACAGCCGCGCGGCTATACGCTTAAAATATATTCAAACCAAACACGAAGCTTGCATTCGCAGAGGACGGAGGTTGCAGTCGAAGTCATAGCCATTTCGCTTCTCTATCAACTCAAGCTTCGATTTGTTTTCTTCGGCTTCGGCTGCTTCGTCCTCCGGGTTTGGCACCAAAAAAAGACCCAACCCGCCTAGGAAGCCCGCCCAGCCGCCTAGCGCCCGCCTAGCCGCCTAGCCGACCGCCTAGGCCGATTTTTCGAACAATGCGATTGACAGAGTCTCTAACCCGAAATTGAAAAAATTTAGCTGCAAATTTGAGCTTGAGATTGAGATTGGGAAGCCGAAGCAGTGAAGCACAAGTCAAGTCCATTCCTCTACATGTTTCCTGCTTTATTCCCTTCTCTCTTGTCTCTCTCCCGAACGACATGTTCAGCTCACCACACCAACGACAACGACGATAATTCTTCCCTCTGCCAACTCCGCCTTATTCTCTTCTCTCTTCGCATTGACGGCATGGCGCAGAAGAAAAAAATACAAAATTTGCTGACTTGGTGTCTGTCTTCAGTGGAAGGAAATGATGAAGCTATCCTATAATGGAGTTTCTATGGTCTTTCCAATAACAAGGTTCGGTTTTTAGGCCCCAATCTCAAATTCTGACTATTTATTTCTGGTTTGGTTAAGCAATAGATTGATTGGTTTGGTGAAACTTCTTATAAGAAGATGGAGCCACGCACAGTTCCAACAATGAGGCACTTATCACCTATTTCCAGTCCGGGCAAGGGATATGACTTACAAATTATTATTTTATTTATTTTGGAACTGCAGAATTGGTTACACTTTAAGTCTTCTTTTAAGTTTAATAAAATTGGTAATATATTTAGGTGTTATTTTTGGGTGTCCAATTCTTTCCTAACAAGTTAAGAGTATATATCTTCGCAACATTGAAATTGTAGCACAGTTGTGACCGTGGTTGGTAATTTTGTTGCCTTGTCATTTATTGAACCTACCTTCCTTCCTTTATGTGGTAACACTTGTGTTGTTTCAACATAATCATGCAGATAGTGAAGAAAGAGATCTGGTGAATATTTTTGCTAGTCTCAGTCTAAAGCCTTCGAATCTTCCTGCTCGAGATGCTCCTTGGAAGAGTGGGTAACTTCTCCTTTTAAGATGTTACATATGTGTATTCTATCATGATTTCAACTACTCATGTTGTGATTTGAATTAGAGTTAATATATTGTTTGGTATTAGGAGTTGATCAGAAAAATGTTGCTTGAGAATATGTGTGGTTTTTTTTTTTTTTCCAACTTAAATCTTCTAGTGGGATCGCTTTTGCATCCTCTGTTGATGTTTTGAATGCACTGTTTTGTCATGGCTGCTGTTTTACATATTTACATATATCAAGTTCATTAAGCGCTCTCAAAAGCTTCATTGATGTTTCTTTCTTTAGGGGAGGCTTCATCCTTGATGCAGCCACACCTGGAGAATTCATTGGTGGGTTAAAGACTACCATGTAATGCCAGGAACCAAGCCAAACAAAAAAAATTAGAAACTCAGAGAGAATGAGAGGGGAAATTGACTCTTTCCAACTAACAGGAACAAGACATTTTCATTATAGTGTTCTTATGGTCAACAAGGACAAGAATTCCAGGGCTGCTCACCTTAAGTACACCTGATGAACCAGTGAGGGGTGTGTTTCTTTTAGTTTGCACTATTTATGGAGAGTCTGACTCCAATTAGAAGATAATTGTATTAATTTGATAAAGTTTTCTGTAACTGTCTCTCACCTTAAAAAATCTCACAATTAGCAGCATTGGAAACTTGATTAGAAAGTAGAAACCCTACAGTATATAGTTCAAGTTGAGTTGCTGGGAAGACAATTAGTAAGCTATCAATGCTAAAGTTGAATAGTGGGGAGGCAAATTACTAAAGTTCCAAGGACAGATAAATAGGATGAATTTCTCATAAGAGAATGACATGATTTGAGTGGCACTATAAGTATATTGCAAGTACCCTTTTGCTTGGGAAAGACAATTAACAAAGAGAGATTACACTGGAAGCAAAACATAAGCTTTCTAGTTGGTGAGTTTGCAAAGAAGGGTGCCCTAGAAATTTTGAAATTATGTGGCCTACTTCCATTAGTTTATACATTATAGTTATTAATTTGCTAGTTTCAACATATCCAAACCAGATATTGAAAAAATAGAAATTTCATAGTAAATCAATCTAAGAGTTCAATTATTTCTTCTTCTTGTTTTTTCGTGCGAACGTCTGCCTTGGATCTACCTCATTCTCTCGAGTGCTACATGTGTATTTTACCGAGTCTTTAAGATGTGTACGGAAAACGGAAGTATAATTGAAAAACACGTACATACGTGTATAATACAAGTATTAAACGGAAAAATGCTAAATTCTTTATATGGGTAATAACTCTGGAAATGTAAAAAATAAAAAGGGGACTATAGAAACTCAAGTAATGGATAATGCTCTAAACGAAAATAGGGAAAAACATTTATTAAAAAAAAAAAGGGACCCCAATATAGTCGACCGGCTATATACTCTTTAAATATATTACATTTAACCGTCTAGCCACGCGGCCATACTATTTATTAAAAAAAATGAAGAAAAAAAGACCCCAGTATAGCCGTTCGGCTGTACTATTTATTAAATTAAATTAAATTAAATATAAAAAAAAGGACCCGCCTCATGGCACCTAGGCCGCCAATTTTTTTAATTTATTTTTTAGCCGCCATAGCCTCAGCACGGTTATACTCCGTGCAGCTATACTATTTACTAAAAAAACTTTATAAAAAAAAAATCAACAGTAAACTAACATCATGAAAAGCACCATTGCACAACATGATCATAGTAGTTTAGAGGATTATCCATTACTATTAGGCGTACGTGTTTTATTCGACAAAAGTTTTCCAAGTTAGAACTGAAAATTTCGGCCACTATACAATATTTTAATATAATTTATTTAAATATTTAAATATATATTATTTTTATTCAATAGTATGTGAAAATTATGTGTACAATACGTGATTTTTGTGTGTATGATTGAAAATTTTGTATTCTACAAATGTATTGAATTTCAAGAATACGTAGGTATGTTACAATACGTGTATTGTATGTTTGCTTGTTAAAAAAAACATGTATTTTACCGAGTCTTTAAGACGTGAACGAAAAAGGGAAGTATTATTGAAAATACGTATGTGTATAATAGGAGTATTAAACGGGAAAATGCTAAATTCTTTATATGGGTAATAACTCTGGAAATGTAAAAAATAAAAAGGGGACTATAGAAACTCAAGTAATGGATAATGCTCTAAACGAAAATAGGGAAAAACATTTATTAAAAAAAAAAAGGGACCCCAATATAGCCGACCGGCTATATACTCTTTAAATATATTACATTTAACCGTCTAGCCACGCGGCCATACTATTTATTAAAAAAATTGAAGAAAAAAAGACCCCAGTATAGCCGTTCGGCTGTACTATTTATTAAATTAAATTAAATTAAATATAAAAAAAAGGACCCGCCTCATGGCACCTAGGCCGCCAATTTTTTTAATTTATTTTTTAGCCGCCATAGCCTCAGCACGGTTATACTCCGTGCAGCTATACTATTTACTAAAAAAACTTTATAA